ACCTCTCCAGCCCCATTTAATAGAAGAAAGTATTCTTTCATTGAGGGAGTACTTGAGTGGAGGCCTGTGGACGCCATTGCAAGATGGCGCCGGACCGCGCCCGCATCGTCAGAGCTAAGCTGTAAACAAGCTTGTTGCGCATGCGCTGCCAGCCGCTCGCTACGCATTATCAAATTGCACCAATCCTGGTAGGACACGTCACCGAGCAGGGTATTTATACCCGGGGTTTTAGGAGCTTGGGGTCTTCCGCAGCTGACCTCGGAGCAAGAGGCAGCTTAAATAAACTTCGCAGATTGCATCTACCAGAAGGGTCCTGACCATTCTTGTCTCGGTCCGTGTTGCACCGTGTCATCCGCGCGTGACAGAGGCCCAATGTCCTTTTGCTACCTTAGTACTAAACCTATAAATATATACACATAGATCTATTTCCCCATCCTCATATATAAATACATATGCATATGTATATGCCTCTATTTAGACCTCTATAAATGCCCTTTGCCTCCTAGCTCTTTCCTCTATTTCCTTTGACTTTCCTCTTGTCCCACTATCATGCTCAGTCTTCATTTGGGTTTAAGTAATTCCTCTTGGTTATATTACCCTTGATCCCACCCTACCAGGTCTCCCACAACCTCCTCACCATCAATCCAGATCATTTGTTCCCTTTTCCTGGGTTTGTTAACACCACTACCTTTACTCCCACCTCTCCCTCTCCCTCTCCCTTGTCTCCCCGGAACAGTCGGTCCCATTGTTTTCCCCTCCAGATTGTTCATCCAGCCTATCTTGTTTAGACAGACCTCCGGAGATAATAACATGCACAAAAACAAGACAGAACAAAACCAATCAACAATATACAACAAAACAACAACCACAAACCAGTGACAAAAAACAAAACAAAACCCAAAACAAAACACAACACAACAAGAAAGAAAAGCTTGAAGTTATTTCAAGGATTCTTTGTTGATCTTTAGGAGTGTTTTCCAGTCCAGTCTCTTGGAGCACCACACTCTGGACCCAAATCCACCTTCAGCATTCCCTGTGGACCTTGCCGCTCCATTCCCTTGCTGTTCTGTTGCACCCCCATAGTATTTTGCTTTGGTGTGGCGGGATCAGATCGGTCGCAGTTCCCACACTGTCTCCGGTGTTGTTCCCTGTAGGGCTGTGGGTCAGTGAGGGGCGTCATGTCTCATAATGAGGCTGGGCATGAAGTCCTCTCTGTGGACTGGCTGCTCTAGTTGGGAGCATCCTTCTCACAGCCTGGTGGGTCAGAATTTGCTCCACTGTCTCCTCCTCACCCTTCATCTGCTCCTGTGTCCTCTGATCAGATATGTTCCTCTCTGGGAGCTGCAGATTCAATGCTGTCTTTGAAATAAATTCTTCTGGGGGGAGGGGCAGGTGTCCGCGTATTAGTTGGGATTGGGGCTGGCCCCCAATGAACACTATTATTAGATGACTTGACCTGATAGGTATTTTCAGAGCGCTCCACCCAAATGTAAAAAATTCATGTTTTTTCAAGATCACATTGCACATACTCAAAGATAGACCACATGCTGGGAAGCAAGTCAAACCTGTGTAAATTCAAGCACATAGAGATCATACAGACTTTTCTCTCCGACCACGATGCTATACGGCTGGCACTCAACAAAAGGACAATTAAGCAAACACGGGAAAACAATTGGAGGATGAATAACTCTCTATTGCAAAATAAGTGGTTACTGTCCCTAAGCAGAGATTAAATTAGGAAGTTCCTAGAAATCAAGGAGAATGAGAATATGATGTACCAAAACCTCTGGTAAGTTTTATAGCAACACATGCACACATAAAAAAGGAAGAGAAACTTATGATTGATATGCTGATGCAAAGCTTACAGCAATTAGAGCAGAGTCAAAAGGTCAATCCTACTAATACCAAAAGAATTAATAAAAATCAGGACTGATGTTCATGAGCGGAAAAACAAGAAAACTGTGGAAAAAATTAAGGCAGCTGAACGTTGGTTCTTTGAAAGTATTAGCAGAATCAACAGACAAATGGCAAACCTATCCCAAAGAAGGAACAAATTTCAATAGCAAGAATGATGGATGAAACATTGGGCATTACAATGACCCTACTGAAATCAAAAGGATAGTTACACAGTACTACAAAGTCCTGTGCTCCATTGAATTCAACAACTTGGAAAACATGGACAAACACTTGAAAAACAATCCCTCCATAGATTATCCCAGATGGATGTCAAGAATCTCAATAGACCCATAGCAATAGAAGAAATATACAAGGTTATCAAGGGATTACCAACAACAACAAAAAATCCCCTGGACCAGGTCGGTTCACAGGAGAATTGTACTAAGCATTCATGGTAGAACTGACACCAACACCACACACTCTTCCAGAACATAGAAATAGACAGCAAACTTCCAAACTCTTTGTATGAAGCTAGTGTAACTCTGATACCTATAATGGGCCAGGATCCCACAAGAATTGAAAGCTACAGACCAATATCCCTAATGAAATTAGGATGCAAAAATGCTGAACAAAATACTGGCCAATAGAATACAAAAGTACATATAGCAAATAATTCACCATGACCAAGTGGGATTCATATCAGGGATGCAACATACTAAAGATCATTAGTATTATTCACCACATTGACATAAAAAATTCTAGGAACCTCATGATAATATCAATAGATGCTATTTAAGACAATCAAGAAGATAAGAGTGGAAGTAAAATTCCTCAATATAATACAAGCTATATATGAAAATCAACAGCCAGCATGGTAGTCAATGGAGAAAAGATGAAAAAATCCCACTGAAAAAGGGGTCCAGGCAAGGATGCCCCTGGTCCCCACTCTCATTTAACCTCACTCTGGAGATGCTGGCTAGCAACATAAGGCAAAGAAGAGATATCAAAAGTTTTTGCCTGGGGAAGGAAGAGGTTACACTATCATTTCCAATGTTTGTTTGGAATGTTTCCAATGTTTAATCAGCTAGTTGAGACATTTCCATTTGTGTACAATTAATTCCTAGAGTTTTGTTTTTGGGTAATGCTTTCAGGTAGCTTAGACTACTTTTCCCTACAGTACGGGGTCTTGCTCATATCCTACCTCTTGAAATCGTTGAATGCTGACTTTTGTTTTAGTAATTATGTATTCTTTCTATCATATTTTGATGCTTGCTGTATTATTCAATATTTTTCTCATAGAATCTTTCAATATTGCAATTCAAAGCCTGATTTTTTTCTTGAGTTCTTCAGGTTAAGTAATGTTGAGTATGTTCTTTCTTTTTGGTCTTTGTGCATTTCATTATAACATTTTGCTTTCTTTTCTCAGGCTGTCCTTTGAAATTTTCTGTTCAACTCTTTGACTTCAGCCTTTGTTCCATTCGCTTTATTTGCAATCAAGACATCCACTTTGACCCATTCTTTCTTTCCTGTCTTTTTAATGACCTTTTGTTTTCTTCATCTATGATGCTCTTGATGTCATCTCACAGCTCATTAGGTTTTCTATCATTAGTCCATCAAATGTTTCTTTGAGATGTTCTTGAAATTCAGGTGGATATGTATAAGGTTGTATTATGGCTCTCTTGAAGTGGTTTAAATTTTCGTCAGCATCAACCTGAACTTACATAAGAGCAATTGATGCTCTTGTTTCACTGTGTATGCCTGGCCTTGTTTCACTTCTAAACTTGAGTTTCTCCATCGTTTCTTCCTATAGATGTACTCAACTTTATATCTGTCTATTCCATCTGGAGAAGTCCTTATGTACAGTTTCCTTTCATGTTGTTGAAAACAAGTGTCTGTGATGAAGAAGCTATTGGTCTTACAAAATTCTATTATGCGATCTCCTGTTTAGTTTCTATTGCCAAGGCTGTAGTTTCCACCTACTTTTCCTGCCTACTTTTTCCAACTTTTACATTTCAATCACAATTAATTGTTAATGCATCTTGATTGCATATTTGATCAATTTCAGACTGAAGATGTTGGTATAATTATTTTACTTCTTCATCCCTACCTTTAGTAGTTGATGCATAAATTTGAATATTGGTTGTATTTATCAGATTTTCATGTGTGCATCTATATATACTTAGTCTTATAATACCAAGAATATACTTGAAATTTCCTATTTGATTAGAAATGCAAAGGCATTTATGATTGTGTCTTATCACACATAGTAAACTGTAGGATTTTCTGATTCAAAATGGTCAATACCAGTTCATTTCAGCTCACTAACACCCAAAATACTGATCATTTTGTGTTTCATTTCATTTTATATTACTTCCAATTTTCCCAGATTCATAATTTGTACATTCCAAGTTCCAAGTTGCTGCTGTTTCTCCCCTTTTTGATTGATGTCTTATCAGCAAATAAAGGTCCTGAAGTCTATATTCCTGTAGGCTTTACTAAATCTATGTCATTCGGTTAGACTTGAGAAGGCAGCTCTTCCTCTGTCATATTTCGAATGTTTTTAGGCTTGAGATGCTGGCATTATTTTTCTGGCATTATCTCTGACAGTGTTCTGCTTCTATAACTTAGGCCTTCAGTATCTGACAATGTTTTGACACTTGCTATAGGGTTTTTAGTAGCTAATTCCTCAAAGCGGACAACATATTTATTCTTGGTAGTTTCTTCTTAGTCTGCAAGGTCCGCTGAAATCTGTTCACTCTGCGTGACCCTGTCGCCATGTTCAATAACAGTGACATGCTTTCAAATTACAGCAACAATCCAGTCATCACAGTACAACAGACTGACAGACAACTAGTGGCTCAAAAAAAGAGTTTTCAAGAAATCAAAGATAGACTGCAGTTTTCAAATAAGCCTTAAAAGATTTATTTATTAAATAAATCTTTGTTAATGAGCAAAGATGTCACCATGAGAAAAAAGTGCCTAAGTCATCGCATTTGTTGTAGTCTCATATAAATGTCAAATTGAGTGTAGAACAGGAATGTCTAACGAGAGCATAATTGAGGCATTGGAATACGCTGATAATAAATATTAAATATAACGGAGAGCAAGCTGGACACCTCGCTGACGAGTCTTCTCCTGGAGCTGGAGAAGGCGGGGTCGGAGACTGCGCTCGCAGCATCTAGTCGGGTGACGACGGCGCGGTGGCCGAGAGCGAGCGATGTAGAATTCCTAGATGAAATTATGAAGAAGTATGGCAGTTTGGTCCCACTCAGTGAAAAAGATGTTCTTGGGCGACTAAAAGATGTCTTTAATGAAGATTTTTCTAATAGGTTTGTCATGATAAGTTTAAATATCTGAAAATAAGATTGCTGGCATATATGATTTTTCTCTTGGTAAAACAAGTCACTGAGCAATAAATCAAGTAGAACTTTAGATTTTTTTTCACCATTTCTTCTAAAAAAAATTTTTTTTTTCCAGAAAACCATTTATTAATAGGGAGATAACAAACTATCGAGCCAGACATCAAAAGTGCAACTTTCGAATTTTCTACAACAAGCACATGCTAGACATGGATGATCTGGTGACCCTGGATGGTCAGAATTGGCTGAATGACCAGGTTATTAATATGTATGGTGAACTGATAATGGATGCAGTTCCAGACAAAGTTCATTTCTTCAACAGCTTTTTTCATAGACAGCTGGTAACCAAAGGATATAATGGAGTAAAAAGATGGACTAAGAAGGTGGATTTGTTCAAAAAGAGTCTTCTGTTGATTCCTATTCACCTGGAAGTCCATTGGTCTCTCATTACCGTGACACTGTCTAATCAGATTATTTCATTTTATGATTCCCAAGGCATTCATTTTAAATTTTGTGTAGAGAATATAAGAAAATATTTGCTGACTGAAGCCAGAGAAAAAAATAGACCTGAATTTCTTCAGGGTTGGCAGACTGCGGTTACAAAGTGTATTCCACAACAGAAAAATGACAGTGACTGTGGGGTCTTTGTGCTCCAGTACTGCAGGTGCCTCGCCTTAGAGCAGCCTTTCCAGTTTTCACAAGAAGACATGCCCCGAGTGTGGAAGAGGATTTACAAGGAGTTGTGTGAATGCCGGCTCATGGACTGAAACTCAGCAGGGACTCTTGGGAAGTCTGACCAGTTGGAGCAGGTGGCTTGTTACTTGAATCTCCAAACACTTATTTGAATTTTTACAGATATTCAGATCAGTGGCATTGGACCACTATTGTTACCTCAAATTTATTTCTGCCCTTAGTCATTTCTCCAGCGACCATGTACTATTTTAATGTTCAGTTTGGTTTCACTTAATTTTATGGATTCCCCCCATTCTGTCCCTCCCCTCCTTTGATATTTAATATTTATTATCCAAACGCATGCAGATAGAGCATGCAGTTCAGAGTATTAAAAAAACAAAAAACAAAAAATATATAAATAAATATTAAATATACTATTGACTGCAAAAAGTCTGTACAAATCTGTTTTAGACAGAGTACAACTAGACTGATTTTTGGAAGCCAATAAAACGAGATTTGGTCCCAGGTACTTTGGACATGTAATCAGAAGGAAGCATTCCCTGGAGAAGAACATCAAGCTTGGAAAAGTGGAAGTCCAGTAAAAAATAAGAAGGCCGTTGACTAGTTGGAGTGGACAAAAAGAACTTGCCTCTGCCAGTGTCTAAAATTAAGTCTTCTGTTCTCCAAAACCTTAAGAAAGTACATTTCTGTTTTTTAAAGTCATCAATTTCATGCTATTTTGTTATCACATCCATAAGAAGTTAACGCAATTAACTATTTATTGTTATTAAGAAATAGAGTAGTAGTGAAGAAATAGAATATTAGTGACATTTGTACCAACCATTTAAAAAATTCTAGCAAGTACAAAATATTGTCCTATGAGATTTTCTTCCATTAGCTTATATAACTTTTACAGGAAAATTGGTTTTTGTTTTGTCTCCTATGGAAAAACACAAACTTCCAAAGAAAAATGCCTTAGTATAATAGTAAATGAACAAAAGAACTAAAATTTAAATCAAGAATTTCTGAATCTAAGTTGCTTGTTTGATCTACTGAATACAATCAGATTATTGTACCTGCCAAGGATTTTGCTGTGTTTTAGTATTAAAGACCTGTGATAAATTTATACCTACATTGAGAATGGAAGATTTTATAGAAATTAAAAATTCTCATCTAGAGCTTGATATTCAGATCGATGACTAAATTTTGATTTTATAAAAAGAGAGATCAAGGGTAGATATGATATATAAACTATGTATTAAGGAAATTAACAACATCTTCCAAGGTCAGGAATTTCATGCTACTTTGTCATGGCTTAATATTTTAGGTCTTCCATTTTGACATTATAACAAAATGTATATAAGTGCATTTCAGATATCTTAAGGATGGTCACTGAAAGTATGTCATATTAGTTGAAGAGAAAAGAGCCACAAGGAGAATGTGAGAGTGAATATTCTCCACATTGCAATAAGGATAATTAGAAATAAAATGTTAGTTTTTAGTAATCAGAATACCATTAATAATATTTGAAATGATATTTTATTAGACTGTCAACAGAAATTAATAGGAAAAAAAGTATGTATTATAAAAAAGAATACATCAAAGGAAAAAATCTTCAAATTATGCATGAACTTAAAATAATTGCTTCTTTTTAAATGCTATTAAATAAGTTGTTCAATGACAATATTTATAATATTTGAGGGTTCCCCAAAGATTAAATTTTCTTAAATTATTTTCTAACATAGTACAGTAAGCTTACACAATGTGACCTTTAATGTATTAGAACAAATACTTTTTTTTACAGATTGATTGTGTTCTTTTAAGATGAAAAGTTCTTACATATATAATAGTGTGATTTAAGGAGTGAAATTGAGATAGCCATATTTTCTCAATTAGAGTGCTCTTCCCAATATGGAATAATAATTTGGAAATAATGTCTCCTACATAATTAGTCAAGGAGCCCTGGTGGGTTATGTATTTCTCGATAAGCAGTAGGTCAGCAGTTGAAGCCACCAGCTGCCCCATGGGGGAAAGATGAGGCATTTGTTAAAGCTAATTCTGAACAAATAGAAGAATTCTAACGACTTCAGTCTGATATTTATCAAATATGCTATAAAATAAATTGGTAATTACTAGTGATTAGATTGTGAAAGTTTAAAAAGAATAAAATCACTAATTGGAGAATATGTTGTTAGGGATAGAAAAAAAGATAGAGATCACATTGTGGAATTTTGCAAGATCAATGGCTTCTCTTTTTTTGAAACGTTTTAATTTTACTGGGGCTCTTACACTTCTAATAACAATCCATACATATATCCTTTGTGTCAAACACATCTGTACATATGTTGTCATCATCTTTTCCCAAACATTTTCTTTCTACTTGACCCCTTGGTATCAGCTCCTCATCCCACCTCCCAATGATGTTCCCCCAAGAATTATTTATAAATTATTCTTTTCTTTTTTTCATGTCTTACATCAACCGCTATCTCCTTTCACCCACTTTTCTGCTGTCCGATCCCCTGGAAGGGGGTGGGGCATACTTCTATTATTGTGATCTTATTTGCAATTTTTTTCAACAACATAAATGGCATACATGTCAATAGATCATACCAAGTAGAATGACAGGAATCAAATTTATTACATCTGTGGGAACAAATAATGGAGAAACACAGTATCATCAGCCAAATCAAGGACAGGGTAGACAATGTAATGACCACCCTTGTTCATCCACATGAAAATGTAAGATAAAACTGAAAAATGAGAGAAAAGAAGTCCACGAGGACCAAAATATTACCGTCAGCATAGATCACATTCAGACGAGATTTGACACACTGAACATGAAGACCTACAGGGAATGCGGGAAGGTTTCAGGGAGGTCATTCCTGAAGACAGGTAGAGGTTGTTAAAAAGACAGGGAACAAGTGAATGCCATTAAAGACTGATACTAGTTCCTGAATATAGAGTAACTGAAGCAAGTGGAAAAAAGGATGAAGTCAAAGAACTGAACGGGAGTTTTCAAAAGGCAGCCCAAGAATACAAGTTAAAACATTCTAATGATATTTGCAACCACCTGGGGTTAGAACCTCAAAATGGGAAAACATGCTTAGCGCATCTCAAGCTAAAGACCTGAAGAGACAATTGAAGCCTTTATTTGCAATATTGAAGGGTTCTATTGAAATGCTAAGAGCCCTGGATCTGAGTTGGTCTGGGATATGAAATGTCAGCATATCAAAACGACCAGCTGCTCTGAGGGAGAAAGATGGCACTTTATTTCCTGTAACAATTATAGTCTTGGAAACTCACAGGGCAGTTCTACCCTGTACCATTGTGATATGAGTTCACATTGGCTTGATGGCAGTGAGTCTGGTTTTTAAAAAATTATTTATTGGAGTCCTGGTGGCATAGTGTTTACCTGTTGGGCTGTGATACACGATATCTGCAGTTCAGAAAAACCAACCATCCCTAGGGAGAAAGACAGAGTTTCCTTGTACAATAAAGAGTTACAGTCAAAGCTGGCAGCTTTTCAAGTCATTTGACTAATAGCTTGGAGTAGCATACCTGTGTTAGACAGGGTTCTCTAGAGAAACAAAACAAGAATGCTAATAATTATATATATACTTATACAGATAGATAGATATATAACATAAGAGATAAGCAGTTAATTAAATTATAAAGCAGTACAAATAGCTCAGTGCAACTCACTCCTGTGAGACAGTTGTGAGACACTGGCAGTCCTTCAAGTCTTGAGGGCCACCAGGTAGTCCTCTGTAGTGCAAGTCAGGCTGTCTGGGCACAGGCAGCAAACAGCGAGGCAGGTCACCAACAGTCAGCCAGACGGCAGTTTTTGACAGTCCCCAGGTCAGGAGATGTAAATTCCAATGGTGTGGTGAAGCAGGTCCTGAAACCTCAAATTACAATGACACAGTCCACGGGTTAGGTGTCCCACAGGTAGTGTAGCTTGCAAATTGAGGCAAAGAACAAGCAAGGCAGCCCCACATTGGTCCGATGATCAAAGAGCAAGAGACAAGAGAGGCGAAGCTCACCTAGCCATTTATCTCTCCACCCTTCAATTAATCCCACATGTGTTCATTGGCCAGGTTGGCACAATAAACTAACTACCTCAATATCCAAGTGAGCGAGTCACTGCATCCAAAATCTAGAGGCGCACCAGACATTCTGCCTCCTTGTTAGTTGTGGGAGGGGTGAGAAGCGATAATGATCCTTCTCTTTAATAGGAATATCTCAACATATCCCACATCACTGGATCTATAGAAATATCATTGAGGTGGAAAGAGCCTGGATTTTTTGTTTGATTTCCCACATCTCATACACAGATGTTGTACCAATGAACCTAATCATTGATATGTCTTCTTATTGGGTCCAATCAGAAAAATGTAAGCAATGTAATGGACCAGTGTAACCAGTGGAAGAGAATGGCAATCAAAATCCCTGCAGACTAAATTATGGCATAGGGCTGAAGGGCTGATGTACCTCTGAGGGAGAGTAATGCAAATATATTGTTGTCTTTTCCAGCTGAAGACAAACTGCTTTTGGTTGGCCTTTGAAACTGGAATTGAGAAAAAGGCATGGGCTAGAATAATAGATACATAGTAAAGTACCAAGAAAACTATTAATTTGATCAAGCATTGAAAGTACACTGGAATAGCACTTGCAATTGGAGTCATCACCTGGTTAAATTTGCAACAACCCCCTGTCATTCTCCAATATCCATTTATGCTTTACAAAGGCCAAATAGATTAGTTAAATGAATCACCACCCATGCATCTTTCAAGTCCAGTGGTTCTCAACCTGTGGGTCGAATGACCCTTTCACAGGGGTTGCCCAATTCATAACAGTAGTGAAATTACAATTATGATGTAGCACCAAAAGTAATATTATGGTTGTGGAGTCACCACAACACGAGGAACTGTATTAAAGGTTTGCGGCATGAGGAAGGCTGAGCACCACTGTTCAAGCCTTTCATGGTGGCACTAACTTCTCTTTTCCTAGGCAAAGGCAATCGTAATGGTATCCATCTGACCTTTCCCATCATAATAGCCCTTATTCCATATGTTGGGGATCCAATGTGGGGGTTCTACAGTTTCTGAGTATGTCTATTCCCATTATACATTCTAGAACTGTGGAAAGGACAATAGGATGGGCTTGGGGACCCAATGGAGATGAACCTGGGCTAAAATTCCATTAATAACTTGACCTCCATATTCCCCAATGTTGACTGGAAGTTTTTCAAAACATTCCTGGAATTACTGTCAAGTCTGAGCCAGTGTCCATTCAAAACCACTATC